TTGGGCCCCTGCACCCACGTGGGAGACCTAGCTGATGCTCATGGCTTCTGCCTGGCCCAGCCCCTGATATAGTGACCATTTGGGAGTGAACCAGCAGATGGAAGATATCTCAATCTCTCTCTCTCTCTCTCTCTCTCTCTCTCTCTCTCTCTCACTGTAACTCTGCCTTTCACATAAATAATTTTTTTAAAAAATCCAAAATAAAGAATTTAAACAAATAAAAGTAAAACAAGCATTTCCCACATAGTCCCTCTTGATTCCCTCTACCCTGTACACAGAGAACATCATTTGAAAACATTTTCAGTTCTAGTATTTTTGCTTACCACTCCAATAGCTTTTTTTAAAAAGATTTATTTATTTATTTGAAAGACAGAGTTACAGAGAAAGAGGGAGAGACAGAGACAGAGAGAAAGAGAGAGAGATCTTCCATTCGCTGGTTCACTCACAAAATGGCCATAACAGTAGAGGTTGGGCCAGGCCAAACCCAAGAGCCTAGAACTCCATCCATGTCTCCCACATGGGTGGGAGGGATCCAAGAACTTGGGCCATCTTCTCATGCTTTTCCAAATTAGCAAGAAACTGGATTGGAAATGGAGCAGCCAGAACTCCAACTGGTGGCACCCGTGTAGGATGCTTAATCTGCTACATAACACTGGCCGCTCTAATATCTCTAAAATTGTGCTCTTCCTGTAGTAAACAATACTATATTGTACAGATTAAAGATTGTTAAGAGGGTCGATCTCACATTAAATATTCTCACCACAACAAAAAAAGTTATTTTTTTTTTATTTTTGACAGGCAGAGTGGACAGTTAGAGAGAGACAGAGAGAAAGGTCTTCCTTTTTGCCATTGGTTCACCCTCCAATGGCCGCTGCGGCCGGTGCATCACGCTGATCTGAAGCCAAGAGCCAGGTGCCTCTCCTGGTCTCCCATGGGGAGCAGGGCACAAGCACTTGGGCCATCCTCCACTGCACTCCCAGGCCACATCAGAGAGCTGGCCTGGAAGAGGGGCAACCAGGACAGAATCCAGCGCCGTGACCGGGACTAGAACCCGGTGTGCCGGCACCGCAAGGCAGAGGATTAGCCTATTGAGCCACGGCACCGGCCAAAAGTTATTTAAAAATAGAAAAAGAATGTGCTTGTGCTGCTGTTCCTTGATTTATTAACTTTAGACATGGTGAATCTATTTTAAAAAATCTATTAATTTCCTGCCTTCCCCTTCTCCTTTCTTTATGTATTTTTAAAAATTATTATTATTTTGAGGGGGAAAGGGTCAGTGTTCCCATTTGCTGGTTCACTCCCCAGTTCTCTCCACAAATGCTCAAAATACCCAGAGCTGGCCCAGGCCAAACCTGGGAGCCAGAAATTCAATCCAGATCTCCTACGTGGGTAGCAAGGACCCAATAACCTGAGCCATCACCCATGCCTCCCAGGGTCTGTATTAAGAAGAAACTTGAATCAGGAGCTGGAAGAGGGCATCAAACCTAGGCACTCTGATATGAAACACAGGTGCCTTAACCTACTTCTCTTCATTTTTGTGTGTGTTTGGATTACAATTTTTAATTCATCTATTGCTTATCTTTGCCATTTTAATTAAAGTGCAGTAATTCAACTCTTGGCTCTGCAGTTTGTAAATGAGGATATTATCTCTCCTGCCTGACCCTCCAACTTCCTTTCCCCTTCCACCTCCCATCTGTTGACAGCTTCCTCTTTGTTCTTCCCTTTTCAAAGTATATTCTGTTCTGTATTCATAATTTTTTGTTGTATAATTTTAAATGTAGGTTTCTCTACCCAAATGGTTTCCAAAGCAGGACATGATGCCAGGGTCAATTTGCAATTGCTGTTTTGGCTTAGAGGGATATTTTGATGCAGGCTCATCAAAATGTAAAAATTCTCTATTTTTCATAAACAAGACATAGAAATCTATGCAGTAGACTTCCCTAAGGCTCACTCCATCCCTGACCATGGGAGACAGTGGAAAACAGTGTTTATGATGCACATTGCTCATCTTGGAAAACAAATGCTTAATGATATGCATATGAGTCCACCTAAAAATGCCATGTGCCTTCTCTTTTCCCTTGCACTGATTTTGTCAAGGTGTACCCCCAGAGGAAAATACTGAAAAACTCAATTATCTCCTGAATTTGGGGCAGGCTGCACAGCCAATCTAAATGAGAATAACAGCAAAACTTTACATGATAATATGCCTAGCAATATAAATAGCCCTATGGGGAAACGTAGTAAAATTGCTCAGAAAAATGCTTTATAAAAATGAAATCTTGGTGGAAAAAGCCAGTGTTAAATCTCTTCAATAAACTACAAACTTAAAATACTATAATTTCTAGTTCATCTCTTGTCCTGAGAAAGCTGTAAAAAAAATTGTTCTCTCCTTACACACACCACGCAGCAACACTCTAGGTGACTTCCCTGAAGACATAATGAGAGAGGGCTGCCACCATAACCCACTCTCATAAAGCTTGAAAATTGATATAAGACAAAAATCAGTTTGGATTCAGTATCACAGATTTTAGCTCTCAAAAATGCCATGCTTCTATATTTTCATAAACACAAAATTCTGCAACATATTCCCAAAGTGCGTAGTGAAGCATCACAGGGTTTGACAATTAATTCAACCATTCCTCCTACAAGAAATATTCCAGGTATGAGAATGTTTCTCATTTCTCATCAACACTGTGTCCCATAAGAGTTTAATTGCCTTCAGGAATGAAGAAAAATAGACAAATTCTTGTAAAGCCAAACATCCACTTATGTGTGGCCAGGGCATTTTCTTTAGAGCAGAAGAGGATAAAGATATAAAATAAGAAGTGCAATAGTTATAAAAGCCAAATTGTTTCAGGGAACAGTCAATTAACCTAGAGGCTTGGATGCCCATGTCCCACACTGGAATGCCTAGGTTCAATTCCCAGCTCCAACTTCTAATTCCAGTTTCCTAATAATACACATCATAGAAAGCAGTATTGATAGTTCAAGTAACTGTCAACCATCTAAGAGACCTGGACTGAGATCCCTGCCCCCAGCTGTAGCCTGGCCCACCCCTGGTCTTTGCAGGCATTTGAGGAATGAACTAGCAGATGGGAAAACTCACCCCTCTCTCTCTGATTTCAAAACCTCTCAAATAAATGGTTTTGTTTGTTTGTTTGTTTCAATTAGGACTGATATCCAAGTTAGTATTAAAGACTGTAAATTTGTGAAGACTTCTCTAACAGACCTTGCTGCTGTTTCTCCTTACTTTTATTAATAATTGTACATATTTATGCGCTACACTGTGATATTCCAATACATGTTTAAAATGTGTACTGATCAAAACACAGCAATCAACATTTTTCCTTCTTTGATATTACTTTATGATTAGAGGCTTGGTACTTATTTCTTCTATTTGTTCACACATCATATACTAGTTTATTATGTATAAGAAGGAACTTATTCCTCCTATCCAATTTCGATTTGGTACCTGTTACCCAAATTCCCTCTAACATACCTACCCATCCCAACCTCTAGTATTCACCATTCTGTGTTCATATTGAGGTTTTTTGTTTGTTTGTTTTAGCTTCCATATACAAGGGAGAACATAAACTATTTCTCTTGCTATGTCTGACTTATTTCACTTAACATGATGTCCTCTAGTTGCATCCATTTTGCTACAAACAATAGTTCATTCTTAAATATACCCCTGCATAAATCTACCACATTTTTCTTTACTCATTCATTGGATAATGGACACCTTGATTTTGATTGATTCCATATATTAGCTATTGTGAACAATGCTGCAATAAACATGATGGAGAAGGAAACTCTTTGATACAATGTGTTCATGTCTTCTACACACACACACACACACACACACACGCACACACACACGCACCCTGTAAAGGGATTGCTGAGTTGTATGGCAGTTCTATTTCTAGGTTTTCTTTTTAAGAAATCTCCATACTTCTCAAATTGACAGCATAATTTACATTCTCAGCTACATTAAGAATTGCAATTTCTCTACCTCCTTGCTAGCCTTTATTGTCTTTTTGATAGCAGCCATTGTGACAGAGATAAGGTGATATGTCACCATGATTTTGATTTGCATTTCCCTGATGGCAAATGATATTGAGATTTTTTTTCATGTATTTATTGGCCATTTGTATCTTTTGAAAAGTATCTATTCAAGTCCTTTGCCCATTTCTTAAGTGGAATGATTGTTTTTATTGTTGAGATTTTTGAGTTGCTGATATATGCTTGATATTAACCCTTTGTCAGATAAGTAGCTTGCAAATATTTTCACCAATTCTGTTGGCAGTCTCTTCACTTTTGTTTCCTTTGCTGTGCAGAAGCTTCTGAGTCGGAAATAGCCCCATTTGTCTAATTTTGCTTTTGTTGCCTGCTCTTTGGGGATCTTATTCAGAAAGTCATTACCTACACCAATGTTTTAAAGTGTTTCTCCTATGCTTTTCTCTAGCAATTTCATAGTTCCTGCTCTTATGTTTAGGTCGCTGATCCATTTTGAGTAGATTTTGTATATGGTAAGAGGTAGAGATCTAACTTCTCTTTTCTACACATGGATATCCAGTTGTGTCAGCACAAAATAATGTTAAAAAAAAAAAAAAAAAAAACTATTTTCGGCCGGCACCACAGCTCAACAGGCTAATCCTCCGCCTAGCGGCGCCGACACACTGGGTTCTAGTTCTGGTCGGGGTGCAGGATTCTGTCCCGGTTGCCCCACTTCCAGGCCAGCTCTCTGCTGTGGCCAGGGAGTGCAGTGGAGGATGGCCCAAGTCCTTGGGCCCTGCACCCCATGGGAGACCAGGAGAAGCACCTGGCTCCTGCCTTCGGATCAGCACGGTGCACTGGCCGCAGCGTGCCGGCCGTGGCAGCCATTGGAGGGTAAATCAACAGCAAAGGAAGACCTTTCTCTCTGTCTCTCTCTCTCACTGTCCGCTTATTCCGTGGATAGTCATTTGGCTTTTTTCATATTAGAAAAAAAGTACCACTATTCTCTATTCAATGTATCTTCTTGATAGCCTTTTCAGAAATCATTTGCTATATGTATGTGGATTAATTTCTAGGTTCTCTATTCTGTTCCAGTGATCTGTGTGTCAGTTTTTGTGCTAGTGAAACGTGGTATAAATTTCTAAAGCTGTGTAGTATGCTTTGAAATTAGATATTGTGATGCCTGTGGCTTGGATGTTTTTTTCACCTCTGGATCACTTTGGCTATTCTGGTTCTTTGTGGTCCCACATGACTTTTAGGAATTTTTTTTCAAGTTCTATAAAGAATTTCACTTGTATTTTAATAGGGATTGCATTGAATCTGTGGATTGCTTTGGGTAGTAGGAACTTTTTAATGAAGTTAATTCTTCCAACAGATAAACAATGGAAATCTTTCCTCATTTGGGTCTTTGATTGCTTCTTTCATTGGTGGTTTACAGTTTTCATTGTAGAGATCTTTTACTTCTTTGGTTAATTTTATTCTTAAATATTTAATTTTTGTAGCTATTGTGAGTGGGATTTCTTTCTTGATTTCCCTTTCATCAAATTCATTATTGGTGTATAAATGCTACTTGTTTGCATGCTGAGTTTGTACCCTGAAACTTTACAGATTTGGTTTATCAGTTCTAATAGCATTTTTGGTGGAGTGTTTAGGTTTTTCCATGTACAAAATCATGTCATCAGCAAACATGAATATTTTACTTCCTCTTTTTCCAATTTTGATGCCCTTTATTTCCTTCCCTTCCTTAATAGTTCTTGCTAATATTTCCAGTTCTATATTGAATAAGGGTGGTGAAAGTGGACATTATCCTCTTCTCCTAGAATTAAGGGGAAATGCTTTCAGTTTTCCTCATTAATTATGAATGATACTGACTCTGGATTTGTCATCGATAGCCTTTATAATTTTGAGGTATGTTCCTTTTATACCTAATTTATTGAGAGATTTTATCATGAAGAGTTGTTTAATCTTATCCAGTGATTTTTCTGTATCTATTGAGGTGATCTTATGATTTCTGTTCTTCATTCTTTTGATGTACTTCCTGGCTTTATTGATTTGCAAATGAACAATCCTTGCATTCCTGGAATAAATTCCATTTGTTCATGTTGTATGAGCTTTTCTATATAGTGTTAGATTTGGTTTGCTAATATTTTATTGAGAATTTTTGTATCTATGTTATCAGGAATATTGGTCTGTAGTTTCCTTTTTGTGTTGAGTCTCTGCTGCCTCATAAAAAAGTTTGGCAGAGTTCCAACCTGTCCCAGATCTTGGAATAGTTTGAGACATTAAATATTTCATAGAATTTAATTATAAAGTCATTGAGTCCTGGACCTTCCTTTGATGGGAGACTTTTAGTTGCTTCTCTAATCTCCTTATGTTATTGATCTGTTTATATTTTCTGTACTTTATTGATTTAATCTTTGTAGGCTCTACATATCCAGGAAATTATCCATTTCTTCAAGGCTTGTTAATTTGTTAGCATATAATTATTCATAGTAGTTTCTAGTGATCCTTTGTATTTCTGTGATATTAATTGTAATGTCTCCCTTTTCACTTCCAAATCTGAGTTTTTTTCTTCATCTGGCTAAAGATTTGCCTGTTTTCTTTTGAAAAAATACCCAGCTTTTTGTGTTGAATGTTTTAAGCTTTAATTTAATTTATTTCACCTCTGATCCTATTAGACAATCTAAAAATGTATTGTAAGGACTTAGGAAAGCAAGAAAAAAATAAAACTTAAAATTAGCAGGCAGCAAGAAATAATAAGGAACAAACACAGGGCCTCACTAGTCAGTCATCTTGGATCTCTTTACATAATCTTAAAGACAGAAATTCCTACCAAATCTCAGACCACTCAAGAGCATCTTGGCCTGTTAGGTAACAGCGTGGCAGAAACCCATTGTATTTTAGATGTTGGGCCAGTCAGAGGTGCTTAGCAGACAGTCTCCATGAGAGACTGGATCTATCATTTAACACAGAACTCAAGTGGGAGACTGATACAGGAAAAACTCCAGAAGTGTCTACACTGCTGAATTACACCAGAATTGCGCTTGCAATAGACAGCGAGTTTCCAGATCAGAAGGGCAGAAACAAAAATAAAGGTGAAATTGCTTTGGAGATACTGATTCTATAGAGTTCATTGATCCAGTGACGCTGAGCCACCATCAGGAGCCTGAAATGAGAAGCAACATCCCAAACGTAAAGATGTCCCTCATTTTTGCTAGGCTGCGCAGAACAAGATGACCAATTCCAATGAGCTGCTGCGCAACAGAGCAAGAAGAGGAAGAGGAGTCTGTGGCTGGTCAGGAGCCTCCACGGAGTATAGCTCTGTTTGCTCTCTGCCATGGGTGGCTGCTGGCTCAGCTGATGAGTCTAAAAGACTAAGACCAGTTGATCTGGGAGTCACAGCGAAAGCCATCTCCAGGTGATCTCAATGAGCTGGTATATACTAAAGTAAAGGACAGAGACACACGGCTGGCCATATGCACACCCAACACCTAAGGATATGAACAACCTCAGCAGGTGCTCAAGGAATCCAGAAACTCCTCATCCTGAAGCCATCGCTCGGGTTTTCTTTTCCCTCTCAAAGGCTACTATGGAAGCCACCTTATTTCCACTCTTAATGAAATGAAATTCCAAGGCTTAATTGAGCAAAATTATTCAGATATGTAAAAATTATTTCTCATTGTTCATAGAATAACAAGAAAATATGTTCCAAATGACCCAGCATGTTCTCTGCAAAAATGGAAGACTGAGATGGAAGGAAAACTTGTAAGGATACTGTATCTATTAGTCTGTTTTTCATTGCTGTAGCGAAATACCTATGGCTGACTAATTTATACAGAAAAGGGATTTATTCATCTCACGGTTCTAGAGGCCCAAGGGCATGACACCAGTTCCTGCTTGGCTCCGGTAATGCTTTCAAGGCAGATGGCGTAAAAACGGTCAGAATATGTGTGAGAGACCACAGGGTGGGACAGGAAGCCAGGGAGAGGGAACAGGCCTGTCTTGTTCTTTATTTATTTATTTTTTTGATAGGCAGAGTTAGACAGTGAGAGAGAGAGAGAGAGAGACAGAGAGAAAGGTCTTCCTTCCGTTGGTTCACCCCCCAACGGCTGCTACGGCTGGCACGCTGCACTGATCCGAAGCCAGGAGCCAGGTGCTTCTCCTGGTCTCCCATGCAGGTGCAGGGCCCAAGCACTTGGGCCATTCTCCACTGCTTTCCCGGGCCACAGCAGAGAGCTGGACTGGAAGAGGAGCAACCGGGACAGAACCAGCGCCCCAACTGGGACTAGAACCGGGGTGCTGGTGCTGCAGGCAGAGGATTAGCCTAGTGATCTGCAGCAACAGCCCGTCTTGTTCTTTAGAAACTCAGTCTCACCATAGCTAACTAGGGTTCCACAAGAACGCCATTAATCCCTTCTAAGTGCAGTACCACCAATGACTTGATGACCTTGCACTAAACCCCAGATCAAGGTACCTCCTCCTTCTCCTCCAAACAACACCACACAGAGGACCGAGCTTCCAACACAGGAAACCTCTCAGGACACACTCACAATACATGTGAACCACAGCGGATACTTTTCATCTATCTTAGACCAAATAGTATGAAGATCATCTACATAATGTCTTGCCATGCAGCCGCTCAGAGCCCCTTTCCCAATCAAAATATAAAAACAATTTTTTTGTTCCCTAAATCCACTACAAAGTCTTGTACCTTGCAAATTTCATAACTGCTACAAGTAGCTGTGGAATGTGTCACGTCCAAAGGAGTTGTGTAACACAGTGATCTTGAATACCTTGTCCTTGATTTTTTCAGTCATTCAGAAGATATTTTTACTGCACAATTGTTGTGCACCAGGCATTAGTTTTAGAAACTGGGAACACAGTAAGACACATGGCAGAGTCCCTGTGTTCATGGATTTCACATTCTCATGAGGTAAGCGGACATCACAAACCAGTAAACAATAAATATAAAAACCTCAAGCTGCAGTAATTGCTATGAAGAAAAACTGAAGGTTGAGGAAATTGGCAGAGGTGGAGGGAACAGGCCAATTCTCATAGAGAAGATCAGGTGACACCTCGCTGAGTGATAATAACTGAGCAACCCCCAAGTGATGCCAAAGCACAGGACAAAAGGAATGTGAGTTTTATAGGAAGTGTGACGAAAGCCATCAGTGGGATTTGAGCAGTGGAGTGAAATGATGGATAATGTCTTTGAAAGATCAGTCTAGTCACTATCAGATTAGACTAGGGGACCATGAAAGAAGGGTACAGGGAAACCAGGTAGCAGGAATGCCTGTGAGAAATGATAATGGCTCAGGCACAGGTGACAAAGGGAAGATGATCCATGGTCAGAGTCAGCACATATCTTGAAATTGAAGTGTGTGGTCGATGGAGTGGATGTAGGAAAAGATGTATCAAGGATGTCTTTTAAGTGTTTGTGCTAGGGAGTTAAATCAAGTGCCATGTACTCTAATGGGGAACACTGAGGTAGAAGCAAGTTTAGGACTGTAAGGAGTCAGGAATTTTGTTTAGGGCATTTTTTGTGTGAGCTGCACATTGTGCATCCAAATGGAGATGTCAAAAGGCAGTTGGAGATATAAATGTGGAGGTTCTCAACCTTGTGTAAGATACTACACAGAGGGCCAGCGCCGCAGCTCACTAGGCTAATCCTCTGCCTGTGGGGCCGGCACCCCGGGTTCTAGTCCCAGTCGGGGTGCTGGATTCTGTCCCGGTTGCTCCTCTTCCAGTCCAGCTCTCTGCTGTGGCCTGGGAAGGCAGTGGAGAATGGCCCAAGTGCTTGGGCCCTGCACCTGCATGGGAGACCAGGAGGAAGCACCTGGCTCCTGGCTTTGGATCAGTGCAGCATGCCTGCCATAGCAGCCATCTGGGGGGTGAACCAACGGAAGGAAGACCTTTCTCTCTGTCTCTCTCTCTCACTGTTTAACTCTGCCTGTCAAAAAAAAAAAAAAAAAAGATACTACACAGAATAAAGTTTTCTTCTCTACAACATGACCAATAATGCTTTGCATCCCATTTACAGGTAGTCCTCCAAAACTGTGGGTTCCACCTCTGTGGATTCAATCAATCGTAAAGCAAAACCATACAGAAAAAAAAAAACTCCCTGGTACTGAGTAAGTACAGACTTTTCTTGCTATTATTACCTGAACAGTATAACAGCAATTTACATAGAATTTAGGTCCTATAAGTAATCTAAAGATGATTTAAAATGACCAGAAAAAATGTATGCAGGTAGGGGCCAGCGCTGTGGCACAGCGGGTTAAAGCCCTGGCCTGAAGTGCTGGCATCCCATATGGGCGCCGGTTCGAGACTAGGCTGTTCCATTTCCGATCCAGCTCTCTGCTATGGCCTGGGAAAGCAGTACAAGATGGCCCAAGTCCTTGGGTCCCTGAACCTATGTGGGAGACCCGGAAGAAGCTCCTTACTCCTGGCTTCAGATCGGCGAACTCCAGCCATTGAGGCCATCTGGGGAGTGAACCAGTGGATGGAAGACCTCTCTCTCTGTCTCTACTTCTCTGTAACTCTGTCTTCCAAATAAATAAAAAAAAATCTTTTTTTAAAAAAAGGAAATATAAGCAGGTCATGTGCAAACTTGATACCATTTGACATAAAAAACGAGCATCTATGGATATTGGTATCTGCAGGAAATTCTGGAGCCAGTATCCATGGATAACAGGGATGTTATACTATCCTTTGAGGAAAAGCCTTCAGTGGATGTTTAAGTCTTTCTGTAAGGAGTGGAGTGACCTTCCTCTGGGGACCCGCCAGAGCTTGTTCCAGTGGGTTCTGCTTTGTGACTGTTTTTCTAGTTTATTTATTTTGTTTGACTCCAAGCTCCAAGGAAGGAGAGTTAAGGATTTTGTCGGCTTGTAGACTGTTTTATCCTTAGCACCTAGAATAATGCATGCTATCATAGGCACTTACTATATATGCTTTGAATGTATGATGGACTTTGCATCCCTTGTTTTATGTATGTTATTAATTTGTAAAATTTTATTATTAAGGGCTGGCGCTGTGGCGCAGTAGGTTAAAGCCCTGGCCTGAAGCGCCGGCGTCCCATGTGGATGCCAGTTCTAGTCCCAGCTGCTCCTCTTCCCATCCAGCTCTCTGCTACGGCCTGGGATAGCAGTGGAAGATGGCCCAGGTCCTTGGGTCCCTGTACCCACGTGGGAGATCTGGAGGAAGCTCCTGGCTCCTGGCTTCAGCTCAGCATAGCTCTGGCTAATTGCAGCCATCTAGGCTGTGAACCACTTGATGGAAGACCTCTCTCTGTCTCTACCTCTCCCTGTAACACTGTCTTTCAAATAAAATTAAATAAATCTTAAAAAATTTATTAATAATCATCTTACATGTTCAGGGCTTCATTGTGACATTTCAATCCAAATATACAATTGATCAAATCAGTATAAACAATGTCATAACTCCTTCTATGATTTTATTTCATTAGATGTTTAGAGATCCTTTTTTCTCTCTGACCATAAAATACATACTAGGCTACTGTGAACTATAGCCATCCTCTAAGCTGTGCAACACTAGGAACTTATTCCTTCTATCTATCTCTGCTTTGGTACCCATTATCCAAACGCCCTCTTTCCCTTCATCCCTCTTAGCCTCTAGTAATCACTATTCTGTCTTTAGACTGAGGATTTTTTTTCAGCTTTGGATAAAGAAAACTTGGCATTTATATACAATGGAATATTAATCATCCAGAAAAAAATGGAACTCTGTCATTTGCAGCAAAATGGATGAAATTAGAGGACATCATGATAAGTGAGGTATGACAAAGACCACATCTTCTTCCTCTCATGTGGATGCTTTCGCTTTGTTGAAAAGAAGCAGAAAGCTACTTAAGCTTCTGATTTATATGTAATTTTAGAAACGCATTTGGCACAATGTACACATATATCAAAACATCATGTCATACGCCATAAACATAGTTTTTACCTGTCAATTAAAATTTTTTAAAAAGAAATATATTTGGAGAAAATGTCCTCTATACATCTGCTTACAATTACCATAGCTCCTGCCTGGCCACACTTGCAGTGACAGTTCATGTGATTTCTTGGTGCTGTGAATCCTCATGAGAGAGACATGTAGGTTTATTTTTCTACCTTTTAATTTTCCACTTAATATTCACACAAAGTGGGTTTATTTATTTTTTTAAATTTTTATTTAATAAATATAAATTTCCAAAGTACAGCTTACGGATTACAATGGCTGTTTCTCCCCATAACTTCTGTCCCACCCACAACCCTCCCATCTCCTGCTCCCTCTCCCATTCCATTCATATCAAGATTCATTTTCAATTCTCTTTATATACAGAAGATCAATTTAGCATATACTAAGTAAAGATTTCAACAGTTTGCACCCACACAGAAACACAAAGTATAAAGTACTCTTTGAGTACTAGTTATAACATTAATTAACATTGCACAACACATTAAGGACAGAGATCCTACATGGGGAGTAAGTGCACAGTGACTCCTGTTGTTGACTTAACAAATTGACACTCTTGTTTATGGCATCAGTAATCACCTTAGGCTCTTGTCATGAGTTGCCAAGGCTATGGAAGCCTTTTGAGTTTGTTGACTTTGATATTATTTCGACAAGGTCATAGTCAAAGTGGAAGTTCTCTCCTCCCTTCAGAGAAAGGAACTTCCTTCTTTGGTGGCCCATTCTTTCCACTGGGATCTCACTCGCAGAGATCTTTCATTTAGGTCTTTTTTTTTTTTTTGGCCAGAGTATCTTGGTTTTCCATGCCTAAAATACTCTCATGGGCTCTTCAGCAAGGTGAGGTTGAGACATAATCACAACCAGGACATATATAAGGAGTCCACCGATGTTATCACTCCTCTGCTCAAATGAGGGCTTTAAAAGCAGAATTACTGCAGTGTAAAAAATTTTGATTATTCAAATTGGCTTCATGGTAATAAGAAAGCAAATTGATAAGATTCCAAGTTGTTTTTCCCTTGAGCAGGTAATTCTGCTTCCTCTAATCACTCTTTGAGGAGATATAAGAATTTGTAAACTTTGAAAATTCAAATCGAGAAATATTTATAATAATACACATAGTTTCATTTGCATCTAATATTTAAATAACTCTAATTACCAAATAATTTCTCAAAATACTAATATGAGGATAAAGATTACATTTTCCCGTTACAAATCACTTCTTAAGAGAACATGTCTGATTATGTTTTACATACTTACATAAGTCCCAAACATTCATAAATAGATACATTTGAAACACCATTGTTATTACATAGACCACAAGCTGCAATTTAAATTAAATAAATAAATCACACCATATAATAAATCATAGCCAGAAGAACTATGCATACCTCTATGAATAACAGACATAATTCTGAAAGCACTGCATGATACTGCCAAAAAGCAAAGCTTGCTGAAGGATTCTATTTGGAAGCAATTAATAATTAATAATAGTCACTAATGACAGAGAGGGCATTTGGGCAGTACATGGTGTCCTAGCAAATATTTGCTGGGCGAGCAATAAAATTTTGAACAGAGAATCTAATTTAAGGGAGAGTTGAAAAAACTTAGATGAAATGGAAAGCTGTTCCAAGTACATTAGGAGAAATCATATTGGAACCAGAGTCACTTGGCAGCGGCAGCACCCAGCGAGTGTAGTATTTAATGAAAAACCAGAAGAACTAGTATTCAACTTGCGTTTAGTCATGGGCAAAAATCCCCAAGGCAAGTACACTGGAATGACTGCTGCCTGCTCTGCAGGTGACTTGGGTTCTCACCTCTACTCTAAAACTACGGGATCTGAGGTCCCCACATCAATTAAGGATCTGTATTTTTAATAGGTTTCCCAGGTGATTCTGTTGTGCAGTCAGGTTTGGAAATCATTGCTTTGGCATTGGGTCTAGGCAAATGAATCACTAAGTAATTCAGTCTCCGAATGAATTATTTATTCAGGATTACTATAAAGAGGAACAACTGGCCACAGACACTGTCTCTCATTAAATGTGTATTTAAAATCTATGTGGGTGCTATTTTTACATTTGAAAAAGTTGACATCAGATTCAGTTCACCAACCCTTTGCTCTTTGTATTGATTTTTTACATGATAGAGCCTAACTACACCTCGTGGCCTAAGTCGGATTATGCTGCACAACAAACTGCTCACAAGCGGAAAACTAAAAAGAGTCTCCATCTGTCCACACAGCTTGCTGATGAGGATCAAGGCAGTGCGGAAGCTAAGCTGGGCTCCAGGGCACCACAAGGCCTGGCAGGCTCTGCAGCCCCACATACCCTGCAGCTGAAGGAAGGCTGGCCCTAGCAGAAGGAGCATGAAGGAGGGAGGCACAGGGAGAGGCACCCGGACAGTTCTGCCACCGAGTGATGCTCTGCTCTGAAACTCAGGTTGCAATTTGAACCTTTTCTTGATGGGAGTACTGTGGGGAGCAACTGGGAGCAACTCGGACTAGACTAAGTTACTGGAATTAAGACTTATTCTATGCATCTGCTCTCCCACAATATGGCGCTGGGAGAGGAGGAAACAGCTTCTACACAGCTGCCTCCAGTTCAACCAATAAACAGCAGGACCTGCTCCTGATTGGAGGAGAGCAGCGTACTCGGCGTGTGGGTAGCAGAGTTGGGATTGGTGGAAGAGGACTATAAAGGAGGAGAGAGACAACATGCACCAGGAACATCTGAGGGAACGCCTGTGCAGCCCCCGAGAGAGCCGGCCGGCGGTGTGCCGCTCCCCTGCAGAAGTGGGGAAAGTGGCTAGGGGGAACCGCCCTTCCACGGAGGTGGAAGGGTCGGTAGCCAACCCGGGAAGAACCAGCAGCAAACCCGGGAAGGGCCGAGCAGACAAAAGAACAGCGCAGGGTCCTGTGTCGTTACTCCACGAAGAGGGGGAGCAACAGAGTACCATCTAAAGAACCCATCAGCAGGGAATTAATGATCTATGGATTTCCATCTTGGTTGGAGTGACAAAATCTGCATCTCTGACCTTTTTGAAGCTAACCAAGAACAACCTAGGACACTCCAAAAGATGGAAGGAGGCCAGAAGAGGAGCCAACAGAGTAGCCCCTCGAGATTTTATGGTGCAATGCAAATCAAACAGAAAGTGCACATTGTGTTTATATATATAAACATCCATATTTAAGGGTATGTCCAAACATTCATGGAAAATGGAATTAAAAGTTGTTTATTTTGGGGTAAAAGCATTTGTGGGTATTGTGAAGCAATTAAGTCCTCATTTCATATGCCCACATCCCACATCAGAGTGCTGACTCAAGTCCTGGCTTCCCAAGCTTCTGGTCCAGCTTTCTTCTAATGTACCTGGGAGGCAGCAGATGCTGGCCCAAGTACTTGGATTCCTGCCTCCCTCAAAGGAGACCTTGGTGGAGTCCCTGACTCCTGGCTTTGGCCTGGCCCAACCCTAACTGTTGAGGGCATTTGGGAAATGAATCACCAGATCGAAGATTTTTCTCTTTCTCTGTCTCTGTGTCACTAGGCCTTTCAAATAAATAAATCTCTAAAAAAATATTTTGACATCATGAATATGTCCTTTCCCTAATTTTTCTGAAGACCTCTCATCTCAAAATGCTATCTACATACACAAAAAGACCTCAACATCTACTACAATGCAGGAGGTAGCACACACGAGGAGCATGAGGTTGCATCCATCTCAGGAAGAAAACTAGTCAGGCAGTGGAGGCAGGTCTTAGACAATTCTATTTGCATGAGGAAGGAGAGGCCACTTTTTGGAAGTCTTCCTAAAAGAAAGGAAAATAAAGCCACCCAAACTTGGTCCAAGAGCGCTAGGTTAGTGGAGAAAAGGAAAGAAGATTTAGGGATAGAATCTGTCTGAATCGAAGAAAAGCACCTGAGATATAAGAAATATAAAACAGAAAGTTCATTTTACCCAAGTTTCAGTGAGAAGCAGAGCATATAAAACAATTCTTCTACACCCTGTGTCATGGAACATGGAGAAGCCAGGTGTCCCTCTGACTTCAGTGGAACATAGAGATCAATGGAGCAAAAGGCTGTGGCAGCCAGGCCATGAAGTCGCACCTGCCTCCATACTTCATTGTGGAAGAGGGGAATTGGGTAGAGCTCCTCTCTGGGTGACACAGGGAAGCAGAAAGGGCAAACTGCCAGAGAGGACTTGCTCCTGAGCTCATACAAGGTTTCTCAGGGCTTTCTTAAACCAGCTGGAACGATCTGAGATCCAGTTGAGTCTCCACACTAATAGGTGGGGCAGAGCTAGGGAATAACTTTATTCTCCCCTACTTTATGACCCCACCTGGAGATATAGGGGTCATCCATTCAATAAAGCATATGATGATAGAAATAAAAACCTATATCTTGAATGGGCCTGTGACTAGCATGGAGACTGTAATGGAGACTTTCATATTTGGATTAAGGTTGTGTGTGTTGTGTGTCTATAGGTACACACACATACACTACTCTGCATAATTTTTTTGCAGAAATGAAAGATCTTGCTGATGAGCTTGATGACAAGCCAGGTGGTGGGTGCTGAAGCATTACAGAATAGAAACCAGAAGAGGAATCTGTGTCACTAGCAGTGGTAAACAAGAGCTCAGCTCAGGACATCATTGTACTTGAGGAGAAAATGCCAAGTAGGCAGTGCATACACTCTGTGGAGTTCAGAGGGGGGATCAGGATGTCAAATTGGGTGCCAGCACTTTTTGTCTCAGCCCTAAATGAGCTCTCAGGACAAGACAGATAGAAAAGAGAAGACAGCTTGGAATTGAGCCTGTAGAAGTCCAATTTTGTGACTAGATAGGGGAAGTGGAAGAATGAAAAAACTGAAGCTTTATAGAATTGTGTTTCCCAGTTTTGGTCATTGGGTTACCCTTTGGGGAAAGGTTTTAGGATCAAATCAAGGTGGATTGTGCCAAATACATAGCTCCCTCTGGGAGCTTCAGAGTAATCTTTGTAGATGAAAAATTCTGAGATGTCATACAAGAAAAAGTTTCCTTAAATATATTTAATAGAGAATTTCTCAAGCCAGGGGTTCTTGGAGTGGTGTCTCAAGACCAGCAGTATGAATACTGCCTGGGCACTTGTTAGAAATGTTAATTCCCAGTCCCACCAGACCTACAGAATCAGCACTTGGAGGGTGGGTCCCTGTAACCCATGTTATATGAAACCTGCCAAAGAAGCTCTCATAAACGATTTGAGGACCACTGCCCAAGACCTTGAATACATTCTCTAAGACAAATAAAAGTATTTTCTGTAGTGATTTACTTGTAAAATATTATTTCAAATTTTAATTTTTAGAGCCTTCATTTAACAAATCAACATAAAATTAATTCAATATCTCACTACTTACTTGTTTATTGCTAAACCAAACCACCACAGGTTTTTTTTTTTCACCTATTTATTTGAAAGGCAGAGTTAGAGAGAGGGAAGAAGAGACAGAAAAAAAAATCTTCCACCTACTGGCCCACTCCCCAAATGGCCACAATGACCAGGGCTGGGTCAGGCCAAAGCCAAGAGCCAGGAGCTTCCTTCCTTCAGGTCTTCCCCCTGGATGCCAGGGCCCAGATACTTGGTCATCCTCTGCTTCCCACCCTGCTACCTGCCCAGACACATTAACAGGAAGCTGGATCAGAAGTGGAGCAGTTAGGACTAAAACAGGCATCCATATGGGATGCCAGTGTCACAGTTGGTGGCTTAACCCAACATGCTACAACACTAGCCCCATCACAAAATATTTCTATCAATAAGAAAAGGCATACTAGGCTAAGCCTCCACTTGTCTCTCTGGCATCCTATATGGGTATTGGTTTGTGTCCCAACTGCTCCTCTTCTGATCCAGCTCTCTGCTTATAGCCTGGGAAAGCAGCAGTGGATGGTCAAAGTGCTTGTGCTCCTGTTGCTGTGTGGGAGACTTGGAAAAAGTTCCTGGCTTCAGATCTGCTCAGTTCCAGCCGTTGCAGCCATCTGGGGAGTGGATCAGTAGATAGAAGACTATGCTCTCTGTTTCTCCATCTCTGTAACTCTGCTTCTCAAATAAATAAATAAAATCTTAGAAGGCTTTAACTGCTAACAAGCAACACTTGGTTATATGGTAGACTATGTATATGTATTTGGTTATACATATTCTATATGTATACAGACATAGTCTATATGTATACCTATATACATAGGTATATGGTTATATGGTAGACTATGTATTTAAAAATTATTTTAATTTTAAATACATAATGGTCCATTTCGTCCTTGCAAACAAGCAGAGTACCTGCATAGCTGATAAATTAGACATGGCCCACATGTAGCAGTTTACATCTAAATGGATGAAAGTTGAATGAAATTTAAAAGTTCCTCAGTCACGCTAGCCACAGCAGTGCCCCATGGTCATGTGTAGCTAATGCTTACCACACTGGACACTGCAGGTGTAGAGCATCAGTTGAAATCATGACTAGTCCCTCCTTTTATTCTGTTATCAACAAATCACTCACAATCAAGTTTAAAGAGAATGATTGCGATTCATGAGTGTAGTCTTTGTCCAGATGACATCAGAGTTGACAGGGGAGATGGAGAAGAGGGCCATCACGCACAGGATAGAATTGGTGCTCTAGAGCTGTTGGCTCCAACAGCTTCCTCATTTGGGGGTAGTCTTCAGTCTCATGCTGCAAACGTATTCAGGTTCTGCCCAGGAAACCCTGTCCTTTCCACCACTGACCTGGTCCATTTTCTGTTGCTATAACAGAATACCCGAGACTGCGTCATGTATCAAAGAAGGAAGTGTATTTAGTTCACATCTCTGGAGGCTGGAAGTCTAAGATCAGGCAGCTGCATCTAGCAAGGGCTCTGTGCTGCATCATAGCACCATGGGAAAGCACAAGTGCAAGCAGCCTGTGCAAACGAGAACAGCAAAAGGATCTGGGCTCACTCTATACCAACCAATATTTAAAAAAAAAATGTATTTACTTATTTGAAAGTCAGAACCATAGAGGGGATGGGGAGGGGAGAGATCTTCCATCCTATGGTTCGCTTCCCAAGTGGCTACAATTTCCAGGCTGAGCCAGCCCAAAGCCAGTAGCCTGCAACTCCACCTGGGTCTTTCACGTGGGTAGCAGGGGCCCAAGCATTTGAGCCATCCTCCACTGCTTTCTCAGGTGCATTATCAGGGAGCTGGATCAGAAGTGGAGCAGCCATGACATGAACTGGAGCCCATATGGGATGCCAGTTATGCAAACATGCCAGCCCCACCAACCACTCTTGTAAGAAAGTCATGAACCCTTCATACCCACCTTATTATCTCTGAGAGATCCCGCCTCCCAATGCCACCACAGTGGTGATCAGCTCTCAACCTGGGTTTCAGAAGGGACAATCATATTCAAGCCATATGATCTTGTTCAACCATCACTGCTGTTGCTGTCAATTCCCCTGCCACTGCTATTCCAGCCACTCAGCACCTTTCAAACCTTTATCTGCACTTGGGCTCCCCTACTTTATGAATCCATGCTTTCTCAAAATAGGTGCCTTCCCCTCCACAGCCTCCCTTGCAGTCTATGCACAGGCCTTTGATCTAGGCTCCACCAGAGTCCATGAGCATCCAGGGGAGATTTCAATTTGGAAAAAAGCAACACAATTAGAAGGCCACACCCATGCGCTACACAATAGCATGCTGGTGAGGGTGCAGAAGTTCAGCCTTCAGAGGTGGTGGCAGCAGATGTCTGGAGATGTTGCCCAGGACATCAGCAAGGCAAACCCCTGTCCCCACCCAGCATGGCAGAGAGCCATGGTGAAACAACCCATCAGTGGAATTCTCTCTTGTTCCTGACTAGAAAGCATCCCAAACCCCACCCATTCTCTGGCTTCTTGGAAATTCTGTGAGCTATCCTTTAATAAATTCCTATTCCAGCTTAAATTAGCAAGAGTAGATTATGTTGCTTGTAAATAGCATCCATAGCAGAAATTCCTATCCAAGATAGAAAGAGTTCTCCAAAGCATTTACCCACACATATTAATTATGCAGCTCACATCAGATTCTCTGCCAGGAACTGGGGATACAAAAACATACAGGACTTGTTTTCAAGAGGTTTAAAATTCAAAAACTCAGCTCCACAAACCAATAAGAACTTTAAAATATCACAGGTATTTAACAGAAATCACTTTTCAGTTAAATTTAAACACCTAAGAATAAGTGTGTTAATTACAGAGTTCAACCAATAGCATTAAGTAGAACAAAAAAAATACTAAAAGGGATAAAGTATTAAGTTGTACATCAACAGTCAGGACAAGGGCCTATCAAGTCACTGTTTTTCATAGTGTCCATTTCACTTCAACAGGTATGAGAGTGGGAATAAGAGAGGGAGGAGATGTACAATTTGGGACATGCTCAAGCTGACTTGCCCCAAATGGTAGAGTTAGAAATGTGCCAGGGGATTCCAATTCAATCCCATCAAGGTGGCATGTACCAATGCCATCTCACTAGTCCAAGTGATCAATTTCAGTTCACAATCGATCATAATGATAGAATTAAGTGTCAAAGGGAATCACATAAACAAG